TTGATAAGTCAGCTCAGAGTTTTTCAAGGTCATTTCAATCTTCTTTCAACTTCAACTCCAAACTTCAGCTATCTGTTCAGAAATGAGTACCTGAATAAACAAACTGCCATGCTAATCTCTATCTTTTCCAATACACAGCTCAGAGTCCTTGATTGTAACACAAACTAGTGGGAGAGAAAAGAAACAATGTATCCAAGCCTCTGGGCAGCAGTACTACTTACTCCTTCACTTTCACTTCCCCCTCCTCAATCTACAGCCAGGAACTAAAAAAAAAAAAAGTAAAATCTTTTTCGCCTTTTTTTTAAAAGGGAGAAAAATAAATCTTAAATCAAGCAGAAGAGTCTCAATCAAAAAAGAATTTTCAAAAGGATTGTTAAAAAAAAGAAGAAATACAAACAGAAATAAAAAGATTAAAAAGTACCAGTACAGCTTAAAGTTAAACAGCTTTGCCAAGTTCAAAATTCCAATAAAAAGGGAAAAAAAGAAAAAAAAACTTTCACTTTGACAATCATGCCGCTTAAACTCTTTCCTCTTCACTTTTACTCAACTTTAATTTTTTCAGGGTGTTCTCTCCAAGAAATAATAAGTAAAAGTTCATCCCACCAAACTGCCACACTTTCTTCCAATCTCTTCCATTCTGGAGCTGTCCCAGCTTCAGAAGCTTGGAAGGCTGCCTCTCCGCCGCCGGCAAAAAGGGCTTTCCCTGGATCAACAAGGGACTTTGCGATGTCCCTGGGATCAACAGGACGTGCCCTTGTCAATCACCGTCTCTACGGGACGGTTTAGGTCCATGGGGACCGACCAGCAGCTGAGATATCGATGGTGATCTTGGAGAATCAAGATCGCCCGTCCAACCGCTGCGACACCAGCTCTGCCCTCCCAGAACTAAAAATGTTTATATGTAAGAATATTAGAAGCCATTTACCATTGGCAGAAGCTCAAAGGGGCAGGCTGTGATTAATTCCAATTCTGCAAGCTCTGACAAAATAATGGTAGTGTGTAGGCTATTCCTTTACAATTACTTCTCCTAAATTGAAAACAAAACTGTTAGCAGGATTGGCATTGTTATAGTATCCTCTAAAATCAATCAATTATGCCAATATACAACTCCATTACTAGCAAGCATGTAGGATGATTTCACACTTATAGGCTGTTTAGTCTTAATTATCTTGTAAGTTTAGAGTGCACTGACCTACTTTAAAACATTTTTTCATAAACTGCCTTTAAAAATTATTTCTAAACTTGATACAGAATTCATTCAGAAGGTTGTAGAGAAAGTGCCACACCTTTTAATATCTGCGCTGTCAGCTCAACTACAGAGCCTGCTTGGAGCAGTGCATTGCTTTCCATTTGCTGAGAACATGTTCTCACCACAATAAAGCATCTGCTTCATAAATACAAAGCTGTACCAAAGTATACCATGAAAATAATCTTTCCTCTGGGAAACGTCTGTCTGTCCGGACAATCCGTGATGTATCTATGAATAAGTTTGAGATGTTATGGTTGGGAATAGCTCAGCTTCAATTGGCCTGCTGTGAATGAACTCCCTTTTGCCCTACATCTGGATTCAGGGCCTGTCCTGTAAGGCCATTTGGGCACTGAGGAGAAACACCTCAGAACTCTCTGCCTTCCACTGTTACTTTTATCCCCCTTTCTTTTTTAAACAGATTGGCTGATCTATCTGAGGAGAGATTAAAAGCTTGAAAGGATTTGGCGGCTTCTATAGCAGTGGGAATTCCTTTCTGAAGAGCGGCTAATCTCAGGAAAGCCTCACAAAATGTTATTTTAAAGAACATTTCCTGAATCACAGAATACAACTGGGTACATATGCAGTTTCAATGTACAACCTCATGTTTACTCTTTTGGATGATAGAGATGTAGGAGTTTTGTGATTTGATTCGCTATAAGAATCAGTAAAGTGATTTATCAAGCTCCAGCTCTTCCTCAACTCTTAATCAGAGCTGCAGCTCCGCAGCACAAATCTGGGCAGAAAAACAGAAACATCTAAGGCAGGGGTGTCCAACCTTGGCAACTTTAAGACTTGTGGACTTCAACTCCCAGAATTCCTCAGCCAGCTTTGCTGGCTGAGGAATTCTGGGAGTTGAAGTCCACAAGTCTTAAAGTTGCCAAGGTTGGACACCCCTGATCTAAGGCGTTGATGTCACTGAGTAGTCACTGGGTTGTTCAAATGACCAGGCAATCGGTCAATGATCATTTTTGATAAATTAGGTAGATACAATATATCTATATTCTTGGATTTACTCCTTTCTTGAAGTCTGGATCCAATACTAATGTAGCAGTTACACCTGGACTGCACAAATCCAGGTGACCGGTGTTAAGTAAACTAATAACTTTGTGATCAAGAATAGCCTTAGACTTTTTTTTTTTTAAAAAAAGAACACTAAATGCCAAGACATTATAAGCACTATTCCAGCAGGTATTTCCAGTGGTGGTATTCAGCAGGTTCTGACCAGTTCTGGAGAACCAGTAGCAGAAATTTTGAGTAGTTCAGAGAACTGGCAAATGCTACCTCTGACTGGAGACTTTACAGTATCCTTCCCCTGCCACACCCACCAAGCCACGCCCACAGAACCGGTAGTAAAAAAAATTGAATCCCACTACCGGGCATTTCATATATTTCATGGCAGCTAGTCCTGAAGTTAGTAGCAATTGAATTTTGGCTAAGGAAAACTGCCAATAATTGTTGCTACAGTTTCATGTGGAGGAGTCATCCAGCATAGCCCCATTCCAGATGCTCATTAAGATGCTGTCTAGGCAGTGTGATTTAAGAAATTTTCACAGCTCTGGGATGGCAGGAAAACACAATGAAGTGCCAGTTGAATAAGAACCTTCCATCCAAAACCCTTTAAAGCTAGATATATTGGAACCAGTTAGATATTGATCCCTTGCAGTCAGCACATAATCAGATGGATTTTATTATTCTTACTGCAGGTCCCAGAGGTTGCACAGCAGTTTGCTGACATAGGATGTATTATTGGGAATAGCCATACTTAAGCCATGGAGACTCAGTGGGGGACAATTTCCAAAAATGGAGACTCAGTGGGAGACAATTTCCAAAAATGATCGGGGGGGGGGGGGGCATTTCAATACCATGACTAGAACTGCTCGATATACAACTAATGTCAACTCCTGACTGGGTTTCAGGAATGAGGTAGTACCATATAATATCTTACTCTGTGATAAACTGTTGTTGCAGTGTCATCTTTGCAATTTAAGGTAATTGTAACATTAGCATTTTAGAGATTGTTTCATTCTGTGTATTAAACAAACAGCACCACCTTTTATGTCTACTACATGATTAGTTATCTCCTGAAGAAAGGCAACGATTAACCTGGAGATTTCCAAGTGAGACCTATATATTATTAAAATGCTCAATGTTTGTTTTCTTTGTACCTTCAAGTTAGCCCAAATGATGCATTATATTTCAACAAGTTTTTGAACCAAGGAACTTAAAATCTGTTAGAAATAAAATGAACATTAAAAATATGAACAATCTGGGACCTACTACTCCAGCTGAGTTGAAATTTCTAGAACGTTCAGACCAGTTTATTTGCAAAGTTGTGGCTGTTGTAGTGTCCCTATAGTCACGATTTCCAAGGATTCCAGTCAGATCCCCAGAAGCAAAGTCAATGGGGAAGCAGCAGGTAGACTTGGAAATCACAATCATGTGACTGCAGGGAGCTATATTTCTTTTGCTACACATCTTTAATAAACTGATATTTTCTTCTTTAATAGCCATACTGTTCATTGTGTTCATTCTGGACACATCAGACCTTTCTCTCAAAAGACAGGCCAATGGGTTGTGCAGTAGTTGATAAAAATGATCTAATTTGCATTTCCTTTTGCTTTCTTAGAAAGTGGGCTTGGTTCCTCCTCATTATAAACATTTTTGGAGTTTCCCATTCAAAAGAAGATGCAAAGGTACCTGGGGAACTGATGCTTGGTTGAACATTCAAAGTCAGCAATGGCCTTTAAAACTTGCATCTTTTCCTTGTTGCTAGACCATGGGAAACCAAAATACAAAAAAGAGGGAGGATTAAATGTTTTTAGTTATCCAGCCATGGAATTTTTTCTATTACCATTTCCAGATTAGACAAGCTGACAAGTCACTCTCATAACTAACCTGTGACATGGGATCAAAGCAAATTCACTAAGTTTAAAAAAAAAAATGAGAAAAAGGCCAAACAATCTATTACCTCATTTTTCCATGTGATTTAGGATCAGAATCTAAGATCAGACTGTCAAAGGGTGGGCATGGAGCCTGCTTTACAGAGAACAGTGTTCTGTCTATCTTGGGGAAGATCTGCTTGGCCCATTGCCAGCATGGGAAATCCAGTGCTTTCTAAGTTCAGGAGCAGATGACATCTTCATCCTCCTTCGCCCAGATGAGTGACTATATGCTCCGCACCCACATTTTCCGGCTCAGATTTAAAATGGTTGTTTCCCAACCAGAACATCTTAAGCCTTTTTGAGCAGATGGTTTCTAGTACTTAGTTTCAATATGGTAGTAGCCTCCGCACCAATTGGCCATAGCACTGGACTTGCCTCCATTGGCTGGTCCCTGTCCTGTACAGGCAATCCTGGACTGCTGAGTTCTTTTTTTAAAAAAAGTTGCACTTGATACATTGATGGCCCATTAAGTCTTGAGCTAGCCTTCTAGCTCTTAGAGACTCCATTCAACCTTCCCAATGGGCAACTTTTGGTTTTTACCCAGGCTGTCTCCCACCATACATTCTCATGCCTATCATCACTGCAATGCCCTCTCCTGCCATTTCCCCTCACTCACCATCCTACTCTCCCCTGCCAAATCTCCCACCTCCAGCTGAAGGTACCGATCCTCAAGCAAAATGTTAAAGGAAGGAATGTATGAAAGGATCCCTGTCTGTAAAATCTGGGTCCATCAGGCATGTATTAGCTTAGAATCTGAGAAACCTGCAGAAATTAGGGAAGGGATACAAATTGGAAAGTGTTTTATTAGGGAAAGCCAATATTATTACTCAATGGGCAATACTGCCCAGGTGCCAGGGTCGTTAGGAAAGATCTGGAGCTTCTTTGCATGCAAAGTCAACTCATCTCCAAAAGCTGCAAGGTAAGGAAACAGAACTAAAGTTGCTACTACAGCCTTTCTCTATAGAGTTCACACTGGTTACTTGGAATCACATAAAGCACTAAACTTCTTGCCGCCATAAATGATTTTATTTGGGGGTCAGAGGGTCTACATCTCCCTGCATTTCTACTTTTCCTGATGAAATAAAGAGTGGTAGGATCCATAAAACTTCCAACCATTCTTACCCTATACCAGTGCTTCCCAAACATTTTCCTTCACTATGAAAAATGCTTATTAGAGACAGTGCTTATCAGAAAAACCTTTTACCCAACCGTAAAAACTTTCAAGTCAATGTACATGTTCCTGTTGTGATTGGGTGATGGGTTTGTGTGCTCTTACCCAAAGGGAAACAATGACACTTTTATTCAATTTTGAGCAATTTATCAAGGTTTGGGAAGCACTGTCCTATACATTTAAGAAAAATGGGATTACAGTGTTACTAGTAGTTATAGCAGGACAATATTTTGTGGAAGTCTTTAAAAAAATACAAGGCTAAATGCCAAATAGGAAGGACAATTGCATTATTAACAGCCAAGCACTATATACCTGCCTTTTTTCCCTTTTTGGATGGTGAGCAATAATACTTAGACTCACATAGCACTTCACAGTGTTTTACTCTCTAAGCACTTTACAGAATCAGCATATTTCCCCCCAACAATCTGGGTCATTTTACAATCTCAGAAGGATGGAAGGCTGAGTCAACCTTGAGATGGTGAGGATCAAAGTCCTGGCAGTGAGCTGAATACTGCATTCTAACCACTGTGCCACCATGACTCTTAAGCCATGAAGATGTGAGCTATGGTTCACCTTAAGATTGTTATTATACTGCAGTATACACGAGAGGGCTCGGGGCTGGTAAAATCTCTACAACCCCACTCCACAGTTCCAATCCAACTTGGGCCTTCTTTCTCAAGCTACTGATTGTACCCCCAATGCCAAATTCTGATAAAGTCATTCAAGTATAATCCTACCTTCCTTTTCCCATGGGCCTGAAATTAAAATGTATTAACAGATCTGCGTGTTAGCTCAGATTTTGGACAATAATGACATGTCTATATCCCACTGGTTGGGAAAAGGAGGGAAACAGAAGAGGGATGGTTTCTCTTACTCATTGTGGGTATATGGGCCTTGAGAGAAAAGAAATTCTCTTTCCTGCCATAAAACTTAAGAGCAGACTGGAGACCTTCCAGAAGTGATGCAAGATGTTTGTATTTAAGTAGATATTTAGTGGTTGGGATAAGTAAGGGTTGGTGTTATATTGTATATGTATTCTAGAAATATCCATCCAGCATGTATACTGTTTTAAACTCAGTTGCCTAAACTGACCCTGACTAGAAAAGCAGTTGAGAAACCAAACAAATGAGAGTTGAAAATATTAGTCATTCTATCCACTATCCACTATCTTTGCTGTTTTAACGACCAGATTTACTTTTGCTGAGTTATTATTTATTTATTGAATTTATATGCCATCCATCTTGCTATCCAGAGCGATAGTTGCACCCCAAATAGAGACTTAGATCTAATAACCATGATTTATTAAATAAACTCCAACTGCCATGTTTTGTATAATACACTAAGGTCTGTATCGTGGATGGCACCTTGAAACTGAAATGGAATCCTGAATCTCGTCTTAGCAGTCCTGAGCTATGGTCACATTCATATTAAAGTGAAAAGGTCACAAGATTCTGATATTCTAAAGCAGAACACACAACACACACAAAAATCTAAGATTTAAACCAAAAAAAAGTAGCAGAGGGGGGGGAATTGTAAATTGCAGTTCTGCCCCCTTACACAATATGATCCTGTCATTGTGACTATTGACCTACCTAAATTCAGAATCTCAGGAAGGTTGCCATTTGGTACACAAACCATAGATTATAAATACCCATGGCTGGATTCAGAAAAGTCACAATTAAACAAACCATATTATTATGTGAATTTAAACCTTATATATAATTAACACTGACTGTGGAGTCATCCTTGATTAGATTTTTCTTCTGTAGTAAATATTGAATACACAAGTGAATTGGTTAATTAAACTGGATATGCAGCATTCCGTATAATAATTGTAGTGGGCAAAGAAATTTGCTTGAATCACTTTTATGAGCTACTGTCCCACAACTGACTTTTTAAAAATGTTTAGGAAAATCTTTTTAAGGAAAACTGTTTTTACATGTTCATATCTTTGGACTGTACTTTAGCTGCCCAACAACTTGTAGCTATCTAGATGCCTAGATATCTAGAAAGCTCTACTTTGTGCTTCGGTATAGGCAGGGTATATCTGGGTTCCCAGAAATATAGATGTGCTCCCAATTCTCCTCAATGCAGGGATCCAAACAAAAAATCTATAATCCAGTCCTGCTGTGGGACTCACCCTTCTCTTGATAAGTGTTAGATTCCCCCCCACTTTTGATCAATTAGATCTATAATACTGTACTCAATACAATAACTGCCATCTCTTATGAGTTATTAATGTAGTCCCAAAATACACATTTTGAGACTGTATCAATGCTCTTCATATATATGCACAATCACACTACTAATCCATATACAGTTTGTATGCTCAATTAAAATTCTAAGATGGATTCCAGCACAGTACTACTAGGCACTGATCCTATGACTGTGCATTTGATTTCTTTCTTCCAGGTAAATAATTTCACATCTCTTTTTATTAAATTCGATTTTAATTGAGTTGGCAGCACAATGTCCAAAAATGAATTTGGCCATGTCCTCACCAGCCAAACCTGAATTCCAAGGTGTTCAAGGAGTACAGTCAACAAAATATTTACAGAACAGATTCATGAGATCGTATTTCCCTGCCCAATTCATTCTGATTTGCAATGAGATATCAGTTCGGGTTCCACGTGGTCCTTTTAGAAGATGGAAATCAATAAAAATCCTTATTAACTTAACAATAATTTTATTACGGTTGTTGTCTGCACTGGCTGAACTGTATATTTTCAATATGAGACTAGTCTCTCAGTTTAAAAGAAGGTGATACATTCAATCATTATTTGAGCAAAGAACAGATATTTGCATCAGCTAGTCTTGACCTGATCTATATCTCTTGTGTGTTAGTTTACTCTGTTCCTAGATCCATATATATGCATCATTAACTCTTACAGGAAGAAAATATTTCCCCCAGTACCTGAGTTCTTCCTTCTGGTAAGTACCGTATATCCAACATAAAAGCATACAGCAGGCTGGCAGACAATAATTGGCCTGATTATGCTTCAAATTTCCATATTGATTCAATGTGAAAACATCTTTTTTGAAAATGGCTTCAATACAATTCATATCTGAAATTCTTTTCAGTAAAAAAACAGGATCTTTGAACAATAATAAGAATGAACTACACATTAAATTTTTTTTAAAAAAAGAAATCCCTTTTTCAAATCTCTGCTATATATTTCCATGTACAAATTGATTCTATTATATTCCCTTTTCCAATTTTTCCTTTTTCTTTACAATTTTTTAAAAAATTCTCTGTAGAACTGCTTAAAATAAGCATTAATCTCCTACAAAAAACAAGGACCCTGAAAATGGAGTCTACATTTATAGTTTTACAGTATTTTTTGGCTCAAGAGCCTCTGTTTCTATGCAAAAAGAATCATGTATCTATGTGATATTAGTTTCCAATTCTGTATAATATTAATATTATACAGAATATTAAAAGTTTTGCATTTCTGCTGTAAAATCAAAGTTAACATTGCATTTTGAAGGAACCAAGAGGGGAAATCGAGTTGTACACTAGGATGTGAGTGTGGAGTTGAATGTTAGACTATGCAAGGTTCAGATTCTAGTCATCTCTCTACCATGGAAGTACACTGAATGGTCTTCAGCAAGTTACTCTTTCTCAACTCAACTTACCTCACATGACACTTGTGGGAATGAGACATATATCTATACCTATGTATACCTACATATGCATATTATTGAAGTAGCAGTGCCTGAACTATGTAGATCAGCTTTCCCCAACCCATTCTAGCACCTTCAGATGTGGTGTCTGGGAATTAAGCTATATCTGGAAAACATCAAGCTGGACCAGATTTTACCTACTATACTTTTACCAAAAGAACATGACAAAATCTAGGAGTCAATTTCAATACGAGATCAGGTCATTCCATGGAGAGTTCTGGAACATAGATCTGAACTTCAAAGTGGCATCTGTGAGAAGGATCTGACTGATACAGTAAGGTCTTAAATCTTTCAACTCAGTGACTATTTTCCTAATACTTGATGCTTATTCCTAAATGTCCGTGTGGTCAGTAACCACCAGCAGTCTGTTCCATCTTTGCTGGGATGCCAGAGGGCAATATTGTTATATCAGTTCATCCTTTACCCTGATGGGCAGCATTCCCAGTAGCAGCAGCTGTTCCATGTTCCAACTTTCAGACTGTATCCAAAAATCATTTTGCGGGATGTCAGCAACATTTGGTTGTGGGCTGATCTTCCGGACTGAGCTTTATAGATTCAGTTAGGTAGTTCTCAATCACCCCTTGATACTAAGAGAAAAATATAAATAATTAAAAACATAAATCTAAAATTTAAATTTTAAATTAAAAATTTAAATCTAAAAAAATCATTTTGCAGGATAAGACCATTTATTTACCTGGCCAATCATTTGAAAACTGTATAGACAAAACTCCCCTAAGAAATAGATATATGAGGAATGACAGATGAGCGTTTTATTGTGCAACTGCCTGGTACATTCATGGAATTTATAAAACTTTTTTTTAAAAAAATTTATGGCTTTCACTTTGGCTCTAGCGCTGCTTTATTTTCCTTTTCTTATTACAAGGAGCAAGGTTATTTTAAGGCAAAGAAAGCTGGTTGTCCAATGTGTTTTAATTGGATTGTTTTAATGTTGTTAAGAGCCTTCCAATTGGAAAAAAGCTTTATGCCTTCTTCATTATGTCACTTGGATTTTCCATACATTTTGCTGAAATATACCGTGTTTCTCATATAATAAGGCCGGGTCTTTTTTTTTTTTTTGAGCCCCCCAAAAATGGCTAGGCCGTCTTTTTGGGGGTGACTTAATTCCCTTGCATCTTTGGGCGGGCGGGCGGCGACGGCTTGGATGTTGACCTCGGCGTTGGTGGGGCACTTCGTATCGGGGTCAACGCAAGCACCATATCCGGGTGTGCAACAAAAGTACTTCCTAACGGCAAGCCCCCCCCATTCCCCCCCATTTTGCATGTTTTAATATAGGCCTTAATTTGGGGGGAGGGGCTTAATTTCATTTCATGCCTATAAAACATGCTGGGACTTCTTATTGGGGGAGGCCGTATTGTTGGAGAAACAGGGTAGAACCACACAAATGCAGATTTCTTTCTCATTTCAAAGCTCTTTCTTAAACTTCTTAAGCAAGATTGAAAGCCAGGAACTTTGTACTGCTTGGAGGAAGAAAAAACAACGCATCAAAAATTACATATTTAAAAATGGATAAAATTTTCAGTGCTATCACCTGTATTTTGGAAGAGTCCAGGAACACATGTATTGTTTAACATAATACAAAATCATTAGTTGCAGGAAAATCAAAGCTATCATGTTTTGGGGGGAAATGGTTCAGAGAGCATCAAACCCTTCTTACCCACTGTAACTTTGGTCATAGATTTCTGCTTTTATGAAATCCACTAATTATGTGATTCATCAAAGAAAAAAGCCAAGAACCAGACTGTGGAAGGAAAATCTTTACATTTCTGCATATGGCAATGTGAGCAAACAGCAACACCTTGTGGTGAAACAGAGTCTCTTCCTCCATCATGTTTCATTAGGCAAAACAGATGGCGTTTACTTGGTCACGAGTGGGGGAAAAAGGAAACTAAAATCCACAATCAAACAACATCTTCATTAAAATGCTCTAAAGTTTCATGTTTGACAGAGCTTTTCATAGGGCCAGTTAGTACAAAATGTATGAGATAAGAAAGGGGTCCTGAATCCCTGGTTCACGGCCTGGTGCTAGGCCTTATCCTGTAAGGAACTGGGCTGTGCAAGTGGCAGGCAAGCATGGAAGTACGTGAAGCTGCATTTGTGCAAACAGTGTGTGGGGGCATGCAAAACCATCCCCTCTGCTGCTGTTCTGCAGAGCCAGAAAGGTTGAGGACTGCTGAGATAAGGAAAGCAACGTACAACCTTTAGGCCAGCTTAAAATTAATTTTAGCTATTACATCTCCCTTTAGCTAATGATTTAAATGACAGTCTCACTAATCTTGGATGGCATTTGCCAAGGCATGAGAGTTTAGTAGTTATATCAGTCTTCCCTTTCCAAACCTCTCCCTTTCTGTGTTCTTCGGAAGTTTGTTGGAAGAAAGCAAATTAGATCATTGAATACAGTAGTTGTATGGCATATACTTTTGAAGATTATAGTCTACCATGGACGAACTGTTAATTCTGAATTGCAGGCATGTCTTTGTTGTACAAAAGAGAACACATTTTCTATTTCTTATAAGCAATTTGCCACTTACTCTTGATAGCGCTTGCCTTGTCAAGGTTTCAAAAGCCTGTACCACATTAATATCATTTTTGGCACTAACTTCAAAATAGGCTACATCCTTCTCCTTGCACCAGGATGAAGCCACCTCTTTGGACACCTAAAAATAAAAGGCATTTGATTAGCTGGTCTAAATATAACATTACATGGAAAGTTGTTTCTTTCAAGAATGAATGAAATGAATGCCATGCAATGCAAATGCTGTTTATATTTGTCATCCCCAAATAATGGAATATTAATAATAAATAATATTGAATATATAATGTAACATCATGAATCTTGGATGGCACTTAGAAAATCTGTTCATGAGCAGAATTTCCATCTGTCAATTGCTTGGATCCGCATAGATAATTAGTCCTTGACTTACAACCTTGTATTTAGTGATTGAAGTTACAATGGCACTGAAAAAAGTGACTTATCTTTACTTCTCTTTACTCTTATTCAATATCATTATTATTATTTCATCTGTTTCTTTCTGACTTAGTTACCATTATTCTCAATCTATATTTCTACAATTTTTAACTAATTCTCCCCCCAAAAAGACATATACACACAACACACAAAACATAAAAAAAATCTTTTTGGAAAGTAACTTGGACCCAGGTGTCTCTCTCTTCATGGACTTCAATTATATTCATGCTCATCTTACATATCATTACTTATTTTATTTACCATTCTAAGCCTTCTATATTAACTTCCCCACATATTTCACACTTCTTACTTCTATCTTAATTAATCATCTTAATTTGAATCATTATATTTATATCTTTTGTCCATTTTTTATCATCCCTTTGTCTCATTCCTTATAAAAAAAAAGAAAATAAGTTTCTCCTGAAATCATTAATCAGAGTATGATGCCTTTCTATCTCCCCCCTAAGTTAATCAAATTAATCTTTAAAATAATATCTAATACCCAATCCGATTTTGCTTGGTACATTCTATCTAACTAATACATCCAGCATAATTAAGTACATAATTAGACAATAAATCCAAATATTAAAAAAAGATACTATAATAAAAATTTTATAATAACATCAATACCATAGTCTTATTAAACTCTTTAATTAAAACAATATTCTAAACCTCCCCTATTATTAGGTTTTAAAGCCAATCATTTTTAAACATTTTAACATTTTAATCTCTTATCAACTCTTAAATCATTACAATACTACCATCTCATGTACCTTGCAAAATCTTTTTTTTTTTTTAAAAAATATACTTTATCCATTATCCAAAAAAAATTTCTTTTTTTCATTTAATTTCAAAACATTGTAGCTTTTCTCCACCTTTTCCCTTTCTTTCTTCTCCCAACAAACCTTTCTACCCCCCCTTCTTCTAGCCTCTGCCTTGCCAGCTTCCCTTCTCTGTCGTATTCCTTTTCCCTTTTGTTTACTATCATCATATTGGTTTTGCACCTTATTTTTCCCTTTCTTAAATGTTTTTTTAGATCTTAAGTCCTTAAGTCCTTTAATTTTCTTCTTTTCTCTTCTTTTCTTTTCTTTCTCTCTTCCTTCTTTCTGGATCAAGTTCTGAGATTCATTAAAAATGGCTCCTTTCTTTCTTTCTTGTTCCTCTGCTGTCTTCATCTGTTGTAATGTTTGTTGATAATTAATAAGCGCCATTTCTAAGAAAAGGAAAGCTTCTTCCACACCATCTTTACCATTTTTTTTTGCTTGTTCATATTCTTTTCTTAGTTCCTCAACAGAAAGAGCCATTATAAATCTTTTCTTTTCTTTTCCCCTTCTTTCTTCTTACAACAACCAAAATATTCAAAAGAAAATAAAAAAAGTAAAACAGTCCCAAAGTTATCAGTCAGTCCAAACCAAGGCAGAGTTCTCACTTTCTCCTTCTGGGGTAATATCAATCCAAGAGAAAGAAATTCCAAATCTGTTTAAAATCTTATTGCAATATATTCTAGTCTTCAAATCCTTAAGGCATCTGCTCCAACAAAGTCTTAGCATACAAATGTTTTCTTTTTAATCCTCTCTCTTCCCACTCATCGCTTAAAACCAATTTTCACCTAAAAGAAATAGGTTTCTTAATATCCAGTTATTTATTCCGTAGGAAAAGAGGGAAAGCTATCCTTTCAGCACCTTCAAACAGCCGCTTTTTTCCTCTTCTGGCAGGTATTATTCAGAAAGTCATACTTTTCAGGAATTTTATTAGATATGTCTTAGAGTCCTAGGAGCCAAGAAAAACTTTCTCCTCTCAATCACTTTCTCCACTTCCTCCTGCGCATTCTTACCCGGCTGCCAGCTTCTTTGTGGCGGCCATTACAGACCGCCGCTGCACCGTCCTGGGAAAAGGGAGTTCTGCCGGCCAGGGAGGGAGTCTGCAGCACCCCCAAACCCTTCTCCGGATCCCCCCTACCTTCAGCTGCCCCTGCAGGGCAGCCTAGCTCCGTACCCGGCTGGGTCGGAGCCCCAAAAACGGCTAGCGCGGCAGGGATCGCGCAGCTTCGCAAATCCCTGCCGCTCGCGAAGCCGACAAACCGGAAGTCCTGAAAAAAGTGACTTATGACTTCTTTTCACACTTAGGATCATTGCAGCAATGGTCACATAATCAAAATTCATACTTAATGACTGTTCCAATGTCCTGGGGCCACGTGATCACATTTAGCAATCTTCTGACAAACAACATCAATGGGGAAGCCAGATTTACTTAATAATTGGATTACTAACTTAACAAATGCAATGATTCACTTAACAACTGTGGCAAGAAAGTTTGCAAAATGGGGCAAAATTCATTTAACAACTGTTTGTTTAACAATGGAAATTTTGGGCTCAATTGTGGTAAGTTGAGGACTATCTGCAGTGTGCCAATACATTGCGACATCCTAGGTTCTTTGAACTCGATGCATATGAAAGCCAACACCAGCCAAATCAGGGGTCCCCAATCCCTAGTCCACAGAGCCGGAAACAACTAGCACATACGAGGAGAACCTTTACCTTTTAAAGATGCAAATAATTCTTTGTGTTACAAAAATGTTAGTTTTTCTTTATGTTTATTATCTGAGAACAAACTGAAAATTTGTTTTCAGATCCTGATTGAACTCCCATCCCTATTTCTACTTCCAGCTCTTACTTGTCGATCTTTCAGATCAATTTTGTTTCCCAGCACAACCATTGGGAAGCCTTGCTCTGTAGAGTTGACTTTCTGAAGAAAATCTTTCCTCCAAACATCCAAGGCCTCAAAAGAATCCATATCTGTGACATCGAAAGCCAGCATGCAACCATCTGAACCTTTGTAGAATGTAGACACAATAGACCGGAACCGTTCCTGGCCTCCAGTGTCCCAAATCTAAAGCAGGAGGAACATACAAGCATTAGTATTTGCAGTGTCAAAAACATTACTATTCTACAATTCAATTCAATTGTATTTGTATTTTATCAATCTATCTACAATTGACAAGAAGTTTTTCTGCATTAACAGTACAGTACAGTACAGTACAGTACAGTAATCATTGCAGCAGAGATAGGAAACTTTTGGATGTGAGGTCCACATTTGAAAGTCTGAAGTATGTGATAAGCGCACTCACTACATGACTACCAGGATATATTTACCTATTCACAAAATGGATCTTATAATGAGGAGCGATATTTTCAAAATCCCTACATATCAGAATGCAAACTAACCCTTGGAATGTTCTTTACCATTCTAGTGGGGCTACTGTGGTCTCAAAGACATTCATATAGGACTTCAGGTTTGAGTCTCTTCGGCGACAGACCGAAATCCGCGATCGTGCGCGGTTTCGATCTGTGCTTGCTGCTGGAGGGCCCCGAGCCGGCTGGTTTCAGGGCTAAGCCACCCCTTGGAGGTGGTGAAGAGGGGGGAGACTGCCAGCAGGGTTGAGGAGAACCGCATCTTTCCTCCCCAGCTGGCCATTACTCCCTTTCCCGAAGGCGGTTGCAGCGGTGGTCAGAAATGGCCACCTCAAAGAAGAACTCGACTGGAAAAGAATGTGCAGGAGGAAGATAAGAAGAGAAAGTTTTGGCTGACTGGGTCAAACTGAAAAAGCAACAATATAAGGTACACTGGAATTTGAATTATAAAGAATCATTGCTCCCAAAGAAGACTTTGAAGCACCGAATGAGAGAGGGAAGGGAAAGGATTTGGGTTTTTTTTTCTTTCCTTCCCCATATTGGCAACTAAGAGATTTAAGCAAGAAACCGGCTAAAATCCACTTTGACGTTAACAGGCATTTAAGCTGAAAATAAAATGTCAAAGTGATAATAAAGATTTCTGGACTCTCAAAAACTTTTAAAAGAAGGAGAGGAGAGAAAAGGAAAAAACAAAAGGGTGGGATCTGGAAAAATGGAGTAAACCACCTGGAAGTAAAAGGAATTAACAGTAAAACTTTAACAAGATTCCTAAAAGATGCATTCTAACTGAAACTTTGTAACAAGATAATAGAACCCCAGGAAGAGAAAGTGGGAAAAAAGAAGCAAGAAGAAACATCTTTGGATTATTTGGTGATCTTTGGATTTTTGGTTATTGGATCTAAAGGACTAAAATTAATCGGATGGTTGTTTAAAAGTTTTTAAAATGGTATCACTCTTGAAAGAATTGAAAATGGAACTTAAAAAACAGAAAGAAGATGCACAAGAAGGAAGAGGTTTTTTTGGCTTTGCATTTCAATTTTTAGAAATGGAGATCCTGAACTATGAGAAACAACAAGAAATGCTAATAGAACAAGAAGGGTGGGACAAAGAAGATGCCATCTTCAATGACCAAGTAATTCTATGTGGGGAAAAGAAAGGAAAGGGGGGAAAGAGAGCGAAAAATTTAAGATCTGAAAAAACAACCAAAAAAAGAATAGTTTGAAAAGTAATTACAACATTAGGAAGAAACAGAAGAGAGGATTACAGAAGAGAGAATCAGAATTAGAGAGACAAGGTGTCAAAAAGGGGGGGGAGAAGAAGAGGTGGAAGAGGGAAAGGAAAAGAAATTATAAAGGACAGAAACAGGATATAGAGAAACAGGGAAAACATACAAGGATTAAAGGTATAAGCCTATTTAGAAGACACAGAGACAATCAGTGAAAACTTAATTGAAAAGGGGATTCTGCAAGGGTACATAAGATAGTATTGTTATATTAGAAATAGAAATGAACTTTGAAAATATGAAACAAGTGTGATTAAAATGATAGATAAAATACTTATTGTAATGTAATGGAATGTTTGTTAATAAATAAATGAAATAAGAATGAGAGAATGAAATTAGGAAAGGAGAACACTTTAATTATTACTAATGTGTTATAAAAATTTAAGCGAAGAGGAATATGAAAGAAATATGAAAAAATTATGGAAATATTATAAGTGTTCCTAAGGAAGTATGATATCATATTGAAAAGATATGTTAAAGATGTTAAAGATTATAATTAACATTAATGATAGAGTTGAATTGGAATAGAATAAGTATTTTATTTATTATTGTTATATATATACCTTCTCTTTAAGAACTTAGTGTGTATTTTAAGAATGTACCAAGCAGAATTCGACTGGGAGTTATGTGTTATACCGAATGTTATAATTCTAAAGGCATAAATTGAAGTTTAAATAAGAGTTGAAGGGATAAAAATTAAAAGATACAAAGGTGTCATACTCCAATCAGTAACTACAGGAGAAAATTTTGTTTAATGAGAAAAGAAAATATGAAATTGAAACAGGACAGACAAAAGTATAAATATAATGATTAGAAAGATATTGAAACTTAGAAAAAAGATATATATAACTGAATTTAGAAAGGAATGAAATAATTAAAAGCAAGGTTGAGAAAACTAAGGGAAGGGAAAAAGTATTGAGAAAATGTTAAAATAGTAATGAGATATGGAATAGAACACAAAGACGAATATGAAATTGAGTTTGTGTCTGTGTGGAGAAGTGATAACCCGGGACCATGCTATTCTCAAAAAAAAAAAAAAGAAAGAAAGAAAGAAATTTTACTTGTATTATGTTTTGTGAAAACCCAAATAAAATTTTTACAAAAAAATAAAATACATTCATATAAAGTCAAATGGTACCAGAAGTGGATGCTTTGCTTTATAACAGGGGTATCAAAATCCGATCCATAGGGCCATCCTGGAAAATGTAAGGGGCCGGCACGCATTGCTTCAGCCCGGTCTACCCAATGCAGCTTTGACCCAGTCTACCCAGTATAAAGAGGAAACATTAGGCCAGCATGGCTTCAGCCTGGTCTACCCAGTGTGAAGAGGAAACATGCCAGCAATTTGGGGAGTGGCATCAAGCTGGCCATGTCCACCCAGTTAGCTACACCCAATGAGTGGTGTCAAGATGGCCACACCCACCCAGTCGGCCACACCCACCCGGCCCCCCGAAGTCAACCACAGTCCTGATGCGGCCCTCAGTGAAATTGAGTTTGACACCCTTCCTTTATAATGTCTCCTTCCTTCCTAATATTAAGCAAAAAAGACAGTCAAACGGAGCTATCTGCAAGGCACACTGAAAAACACAGGCAAAGACTCCCTTGCTTGATATTGAGAGAAATTTCTGAACAAGCCATGCCACATATTTCAGGGAAAGAAAACAGAGTGTGAATGAATGAGCAGCAGGTTCAGTTCTACGGATGACAATAATTAAGGTTTAATGATTTATTTGGAATATGAATATTGACCTCTGATGTGGTGTTATCAATTAAGAAATATCAAGAAAATGGTGCTTACTGAGACAATCAGATAGCAAAAGACTGTGCTATGCTGTTGAACTCCCACCTCTTCTCCCAATAGGTCACTGACATATAGGAAAGTGATTCCTCTTCTCAAAGGAAAACCAAAATGCCATTGGAACACCCAATGCTTTAAAGGTGATTATGTGAAAACATAGTCATTAACAAAGTCAGCATTTTAGTGACAAATGCAATTACAAATATTCTTAAGCTCTGAAGGCATCTGATAGTTCCTTTTCGAACAAATTTTATTGAAAAGCATGTAATTGTGAAATTTCAGCTCACTTCATTAGATGCCTGTTACCAGATACCTCCTGATTTTTTTGCCACCATAGACTAACATGATTTTCTTTCTACAATGTCATAAGCTTTGGTCTCTCTTGGAAATTTGCTGTCAACAGTAATATAAACATATAAAAATATTTCACGATATCTGTCCTTTCTTTATTTATTCCTTTTTTTATTCCTTATTCTTTATTCCTTTATTTATAGCTTTGACTGAGCTATAAATATTTGGCTAACCATGAAATAAGAAATCTGAGACATTGAAACTTCTGTCACCTGCAATTTCAGTGGTGTGTGGTCTACTTCCATAACTTTGGACAAAATACTAGCTCCCAGAGTGGTGCGATAGTCTTCATAAAATCTTTTGTGAATATACTGATGGAGAAGAGAGGTTTTTCCTACCCTGGGGTGAAAGAAAAAACACATACACAAATTTCATTTCAGCAAGTTTGGATTCAAACTTTTTAAAGATTGTCCATTAATGTTCTGTTTCACTTGAACTAATGAAATTAGAATATCCTAATCAAAGACTAATCCTAATCTTAATCAGTTATTGCCTATACTAAAATAAGTCTGTAGAAATGTTAGAACTATTTAGTTATAGTCTTTATAAAATTTAGTTGATTAGCATGGTCTTGTCTCAGACCCTGTGTCCATTGCTTTTATATCTGTTCTGCAAGCAACAAACATGATATCATCTCCTCACTAGGTTTTTATATAATTTATAGAAGATGTAACTTTCTTGATGTCCAAAACAGAATGGTCTGGACATTTCATGTTATGTACTAATGGTGCTATCATTCCAGTTTGTTTGTTTGATAATCCAGGATTTGGGATCTGAAGAGCAAGTATTAGATTCTTCACCTGCTGTGGGTAAGTGAAAATGTTCACTATAACATATCTGACTGGTACTGGCCAACAAAAACACCTAGAGTTGCCATTTTAATTATATATTTGGACTGTGATCTCTTCTTAAACTTAGCAGGCTCTCTTTATTGTAATTTTTGCAAGTAGGCACTTTCTTATTGTCCAGAACACCATTTGTATTCTTTGGTTTGTCCCCTGATATCTGCTTGTTGTAATGTATAAATTTTCTTATACAACATCCATTTAATATATTTACCCTGGGATATTCTAGTTGCTTCATCTGCAAGACAGTGAATAGGCAATGGAAGATCTCTAATCAATATGCAAACATTTTAAAAGAAATATAAACTCAACTGAATACAATAATTCTCACTAGATCAGGGACAGCAAATTTTCTTTCCCTGCAACTCTCCCAGCTTCAGAAGAAAAATATGGATGCTCAAAACATTATATGGCAAAGGGTGCAAAGAGAACTGGTGGGGCATAACGGTGAAAGTGCTGGACTACAAATGGGGAGAGCCTTGTTGTAGTCCATCTCACTCAGAGGTTTGTTGGGTGCCAATCACTTTCTCAGCCCTCTCTCACAACAAGATTCTTGTGGGGGGGGGGGGGGAAAAGAAAAAGAAAAGCCATATACTAAGACTATAATGGGATGTTTATCTGCCAGCAAGTTTATGTGGACTTTTAGTGACCATTTTTTCAGAAATAAATAATATACAGTACTTACTAACAAATATTTTTATTTTTTTGCTACTTATATACCACTACATCAATACACACTCACAGCAGTTTAGAAAACATTAAAAAACTACCCATAACAGTTTATTGGGGTGGTGGTTGTGGGAATAACTCAAAACTCATTTCAAATTGTAGCCATCCAGTTTCAACAATGAATTTGAGGATTCAAATATTGATTTCAAAGAAATGATTCCATCTAATTAGTTTCCGATATACAGGTGAAACTCAAAAAATTAGAATATCATGCAAAAGTTCATTTATTTCAGTAATGCAACTTAAAAGGTGAATCTAATATATGAGATAGATTCATTACATGCAAAGCAAGATAGTTCAAGCCGTGATGTGTCATTATTGAGATGATTATGGCATACAACTCATGAAAACCCCAAATCCACAATCTCAGAAAATTAGAATATTGTGAAAAGGTTCAATATTCTAGGCTCAAAGTGTCCCACTCTAATCAGCTAATTAAGCCATAACACCTGCAAAGGGTTCATGAGCCTTTAAATGTTTTCTCAGTCTGGTTCAGTAGGAATCACAATCATGGGAAAGACTGCTGACCTGACAGTTGTGCAGAAAAACATCATTGACACCCTCCATAAGGAGGGAAAGCCTCAAAAACTAATTACAAAAGAAGTTGGATGTTCCCAAAGTGCTGTATCAAAGCACATTAATAGAAAGTTATGTGGAAGGGAAAGTGTGGAAGAAAAAGGTGCACAAGCAGCAGGGATGACCGCAGTCTGGAGAAGATGGTCAGGAAAAGGCCATTCAAAAGTGTTGGGGACTTTCACAAGGAGTGGACTGAGGTTGGAGTCAGCGCATCAAGAGCCACCACACACAGACGGATCCTGGACATGGGCTTCAAATGTCGTATTCCTCTTGTCAAGCCGCTCCTGAACAACAAACAATGCCAGAAGCGTCTTACCTAGGCTACAGAAAAACAGAACTGGTCTGTTGCTCAGTGGTCCAAAGTCCTCTTTTCTGATGAGAGCAACTTTTGCATCTCATTTGGAAACCAAGGATCCAGAGTCTGGAGGAAGAATGGAGAGGCACACACTGCAAGATGCTTGGAGTCCAGTGTGAAGTTTCCATGGTCTGTGTTGATTTGGGGAGCCATGTCATCTGCCGGTGTTGGTCCACTGTGCTTCATTAAGTCCAGGGTCAATGCAGCCATCTACCAGGAGATTTTGGAGCACTTCATGCTTCCTTCTGCAGACAAGCTTTATGGGGATGCTGACTTCATTTTCCAGCAGGACTTGACACCTGCCCACACTGCCAAAAGCACCAAAACCTGGTTCAATGACCGTGGGATTACTGTGCTTGATTGGCCAGCAAACTCGCTTGACCTGAACCCCATAGAGAATCTATGGGGCATTGCCAAGAGAAAGATGAGAGACATGAGACCGAACAATGCAGAAGAGCTGAAGGCCGCTATTGAAGCATCCTGGTCTTCCATAATACCTCAGCAGTGCCACAGGCTGATAGCTTCTATGCCACACCGCATTGAGGCAGTAATTGCTGCAAAAGGGGCCCAAACCAAGTACTGAGTACATATGCATGCTTATACTTTTCAGAAATCCAATATTGTTCTATGTACAATCCCTGTTTTATTGATTGCATGTAATATTCTAATATTCTGAGATTGTGGATTTGGGGTTTTCATGAGCTGTAAGCCATAAACATCTCAATTATGACAAATCACAGCTTGAAGTATCTTGCTTTGCATGTAATGAGTCTATCGCATATATTAGTTTCACCTTTTTAAGTTGCATTACTGAAATAAATGAACTTTTGCACGATATCCTAATTTTTCGAGTTTCACCTGTATTTGCACGTATTGATATGTAATTGACAAAATAATCCTATGGATAGTTTATTTGGAAGCAAATAGCAACTAGTGTACAGTAGTAACTACAGACAACTTTAAAAACCCAAACATTCAGTTTGCCTGCTTTGTTATTTAACTGATCTCTAGCATATCACTAACAAATTGCTAACTCAATCTGGTGATAGTAGTAGCAAAAAGTGGATAGCTGTAGTGTAATATTTCTTTTAACGTCAGCAAGTTGAAATTCCATTTTCTTTCTGAGTAACTGATCATAAATCCATGGCACATTCATGTACTTTGTACTTTGATCTGTTTTTAAAACAGGTTAACTACAAAGGTTATATGTCGAAGGACTTTTTTCTAAACTAATATATCCGGATAGGGAGGGTTTCTTAAGGAGCACCTTTATTGAATCACAAAAATCATCTGTCACATCCATAATTTTCCTTTATTTTATTTATGGTGGTTTTTTTAAAAAATATTAGGGTTTATTGTAAAAAAGAAATTGAACATTTTATGATATACTGTCAGTTGCATTTCACATATCAATTCTTTAAAAAAAATATTGTACAGTTGTTATACATTATCTTAGAAAGAAGGAATTCCAAGAACTGAAATAGTATTTTAAGTATTCATGGACATGAAATTCCATTTTCTAAGAGTATATGCATCATTTAATTAAAAATAATTGTATTTTAACATTCTATTGTAAACCACCCAGTTTCTCTCTTAGGGAAATGGGCAGTTCAGAAATGTGGGGAATTTTTTTAAAAAAAATATACATTTCCCCCAAATGTATGTTTATGATTCATCAATAACAAGGAACAGAGAATTTATGGATGAGGATTATCCAGCAAATAGTCTATGGAGTCTTTAAACTCCACCTGCCTATTCTTTAAAATTTACTCCTTCTACTTTCCTTAGAGAAAAGAGTTCTCTTTCCTTAGGTAAAAAATAAATAAATAGCCAGAACTGTAAGATAGAAGTAATGAATAAAGATTTGCTAGTGAATATTACGTAGCTTATTCAAGCTGCAATTCCATGTTTTTTTCCATTCTGCTTACAAATGCCTGAAATTTAAATCCACAAAAGTTCCTCTTCTCCCATTCTAACTTTACATAATTCAGTATGTGAATCTACTTTCATTTCTAATGGAAATATTTCTTTCCTCTTTCCAATGTTGAAAAAAATTACACCACTATCTCAACTTATTTTAAACTTGCAAGATTCTATTACAACAAGCAAAAGTGGTTTTAACCTTCCTGTGAATTTGACTACTTGGCCTGGTCTACCTAGTGGATAGATACAGTCTGATTGTGTACTACCTCCTCCTCCTATTCGCAGTAGGGATAAGGCAGCATCTGAGCTGCAGAAGCATATTATCATAAAAGAATACTATCTGCCTGCTGTGGACTTAAATATATATTTAATCCTTTGTTGCCTTAGCAATGGATTTTGCATATCTCTGTCCAAGTCATTTTTCTTACTCGTTACATTGCTCCACTAAGTACTCTCTACATCAGGGGTATCAAACTCACGGCCCGCGGTCCAGAGGCGTCATGTGCTGGCCATGCCCACCCCTGGTTTAGCGAAGGGGAAAAAAGTCCCGACACATCCCATGACAACAATGTGACGACATGTGTTTGACATTCCTGCTCTACATCAATCCCACTAGAGAGGGCCTGTTCCAGGTCCCGTCTATTCAACAGTGTCATCTTATTGGAGTCATTCTTTTTGTTTTTGTTTTTTTTAAACAAATTTTATTAATTTTACAATTAAAAAAAAATCAACAACACATACACGAATAGAAAAATGAGAAAAGAAAAAAGAAAGAAAAGAAAAAAGAAAGGAGAAAGAAAGAAAAAGAAAGAAAGAATGAACACTTAAAAACATTCTCATTTTCGACAGTTTGTAAGATCTTTTCTCTTCTTATTTTGTACCATATACGCACATCTTATCCATATATATGTTTATATTACACTCATATAAGTTTGTCCCACTCTTTTTTACCTTATGATATAAGGTCTATCTTTGATCTAACCATTTATACCAGCAATTCCAATTGTTATAATATATTGAAGAATCTTTGTTTTTTAGGGCTAAAGTTAGTTTGTCATTCTTTTTGTGTGGAACAACATCCCTTTGGAGATCCAGAGGATCCAGACCTTGTTATTCCTTGTAAGGCTCTGAAGCCTGGCTGTCTTGCCCTTGCCCTGGAGGTTAGTTGAGTTATGCTGTTGGCATGGTTTTATGACTGGGGTGTACTATTCCAGTTGGGTATCATTGTAACTGCTAGTTTTGTATGTCACCCACAATCACTGCTGTAAAATGAGAAGCCATCAAAATTACATAAACAAGCAAACACTTCTGGGATAGTCACTAGAAAGCCAAAGTCAGAAGGGATGTGTCCCAGTTCAAATAATTCAGCCATTCTCCATTTTCTCATTTTCTGTCTCCTTAACTTATCTCACAAACTTATTATGAGAATAAAATGAGGGTTCAGGATGAGAGAGAGAAATGCATCTTTAAAAAGATTTTTAAAATATGCTTACCCCAAAGCTCCAATAATAATGATTTTCAAATCCACTCTTTTATTTGGACCCATGAATGGGACCTACAATGCAAAAAGGAGGAGAGAAACTATTATTTTGTATTTCAAATCACATATAGCATAGCAGCAGTAAGCATTGAATCCCAGGTATCTTATTGTTTTACTCACTTACTTCGTTTTACTGCAGGAAAAGAATGTTTGGTTTTGGATAAGACCACTTAATAAATTTTCCTCCAAGGATTATGCTGCATAGGATTTAATGTTTGTTTGTCACAAAGAATGGGTGAACAGATTTAGCTGGGCAAGCTCACATTTCTAAGCAGTGTCAGGGGCAGTGTGGTTGAAATCCTGCCAGCTAGGAAGGGATAAAAAGAAAAAGAGGTAAGGAGGGAATTTCTTGCTCATACTTATGCCTGGAAAGCAACTGAGATTTCATGACAAGGACTTCTCTACTTCGAAATACCCCCAGAAAGATCCTAGATAATATCCTCATACTGATATAATGAGACAATTGCTATTTCCAAGCTTCAAACATGAAGTGGGGTCAGGATGGATGACCTGCCAACTTAAAAAAAATATGCAAAATGTTCTTTCTAACCTCATTCAACTATTATTCTTTATGGTTCCATTCACCTTGTATTCACAGCCAATGTCTGCTTCATTGTTTGCTTCTTCCTACTAAATAGCCATCAATTGCTATGTAGTAAAGGAAGTTAGCACCCACTCCACTCCTAGAAAAATGAAATATCCTAGGAAATATTAAAAAGGCAGAATATTTCCCCTAAAAAGAATAGAAACTCAGAAGCAGGAACTCACCTCAGAAGTAGAAACTCACCCTCCCCCTACTTTGCTAATGGGACATTACTCTGACCTAGGCCAGTCTATTTTACATAACAAAGATCTACTCCAGGTAAAGCTATAATAGGAATTGCCCAAAGCCCTTTCATTACCTCATCATCCAGAAAGCCTGGAACTCAGAACAGCCTACAGAGTTGCCCCTGCATGGCCCCATGGGAGACTGACAACCAATCAGAATACAAACTCAAATTCAAATTGCAACAGAGGGTATAAAACCCAGGCACTCTCAGCATCTCTGGCCTTCTTTCTTCCCTCAAGGCACATGATCCTGTCTACCATTAAACCATTTTTCCAAGCAGTCACCATGTTTCCAGTGTCTTTTCCCCCCACTTGGAACTGAACCCAGAAGGATATTTCTTCCAACAGTAGTCTGTATATTTGCTCCTTATCTCAAGCTATTTATTATATATAGGGCATATACCAATGTCTGTCACAGCAAGTTTCCCCACTTATATATCATGCCCCCCAAAAGTGTATAATCACAGAGAGGATATTAAATTGAATAGAAGTTATTTTTGCTAATAAATGAAATGGCTTGTAGCTGGTGATGTAGTTATTGAATGACGAAGAACAAACAGGCAGGAGACTGAGCCCCTGATCTGAAGCAGGATCCCCTCATAGACCAACTCCTCCTGGAATGGTATAGGGTCTCCTGCTTGAGCAGGGGGTTGGACTAGAAGACCTCCAAGGTCCCTTCCAACTCTGTTATTCTGTTCAGCAATGTCCACCTTAGTGGACTGCTTTCTAGGTAATCTACCTTCTCTCCATAAGACGCATGTAACAAATAATAATATTAATAATGATTTTATTTTGTTGCGTGCGTATTAATATCAGCAGCTAATTATGGCTTGAACCAGAGAATTTGTGATTGTACTGCTCTGCTTATAATGGCTTATATTGTTTGGATTCATTTTTATTATATGATTTAAGCTGCACTAAAAAAAACTCGAGTATTGAATAAAAAGAAAAATGTGAACACAAATAATAAGATGCTTTTATAACTTTGATTCCATCTGCCTTTCCTACAAATAATTCCCACATTTATGCTGTAGTTTCTGCAGCAATGAAAGGAGAAAGAACTTGGGACACCTTTTATATAGAGCTGACAAGGAGGTGATTGTCACTCAAAGGGCTCTAAACAACCCTACCACTGATGCTGCTGCATGTGGGAGATAGCACCATACATTGTCGTTTAATCAAGGCTTTCTCCATGGATATATTAATTCTTCTGTAATTAAAAAATAATAAAAATCTCTTGTCTTCTTGGGCTTACTTTAATCGAATTGCCCTCATCCAGGGTTCAATGTTATGTAGCCCTAATAAAGGATATCCTTCCTTAGAAATCCCTATGAGTTCTTAAGTGTTTTTATCTAATAAAATAAATCAGAGAACATAGTTTGTTTTATGCATACCATAGTTGCAATCTCTAATGCATCAAATATACAGGATGTGCAAATACTGAATGGAGTTATAGTCTCTAAATTTCCATTTTTGATCCAACTGTGACTGATCGGGAATATTGTTGTTGTTGTTATTTCAAATTTGTATGCCACCTATCTCTAGTCACATCATTAGAGAATGATCTGATATGTAGATCAATGCCTAAATACCTGGCTGAATGGCACTGAAAAAAATGATTTATGACTAGGTTCTCACATCGCAATCCTAAATTGCATTAACAGAGGGATACAATCGAGATCAAGTGAGATACTAATACCACTCTATAAAGCCTTAGTAAGACTACACCTAGAGTACTACATCCAGTTTTGGTCACCACATCATAAAAAAGATGTTGAGATTCTAGAAAAAGTGCAGAGAAGAGCAACCAGGATGATTAGGGGACTGGAGACTAAGGCATATGAAGAACGGTTACAGGAACTGGGCATGGCTAGTCTGGTGAAGAGAAGGACCAGGGGAGACATGATAGCAGTGTTCCAGTATTTGAGGGGCTGCCACAGGGAGGAAGGGGTCAAGCTATTTTCTAAAGCTCCTGTAGGCCAGACAAGGAATAATGGATGGAAACTGAACAAGAAGAGATTTAACCTGGAAATAAGGAGAAACTTTCTGACAGTGAGAACAATCAACCAATGGAACAGCTTGCCCTTGGAAGTTGTGGGAGCGCCATCTCTTGAGACCTTCAAGAAGAGATAGGACTGCCATTTGTCAGAAATGGTGTAGGGTCTCCTGCTTGGGTGGGGGGTTAGACTAGATGAACTACAAGGTCCCTTCCAACTCTGATTATCTGTTATTTATGACAAGTATAGTATCCCCAGTCACGTGATCAAAATATGGGTGCTTGGCAACTGCTATATATTTACTATGGTTGCCAATCCTGGGGTTTTCATTTACAACTTTTCTAGGAAGCTTCTGACTAGCAGAGTCAATGAGAGAAGCCAGATTTGCTTAACGACCACGATTCACTTAAGTGCAGTGATTTGCTTAACATCCATGGCAAAAAAAAGATTGTAAAACGGCATGAGTCTCATTTAACAATTGCCTTGCTTAAGCAATATAAATTTTGGGCTCAATTGCGGTCATAAATCAAGGACTACTTGTACAGCTCATAGATCTACCAGGACCAAGAGAAAGTAACAAAAAACATATAAAGCTTGATCACAGATCATCACCAACTATAACCAGAGCTGGAGCCCCATCCTCCTGACCTGGATAGAGATGACCATGGACCAGGTTCTTCCAAAACTGACAGCCAGATTTCCACAGAAGAACTCTGTGGGACAAATAGGACTGCATTCATGGATAACATTTCTAAGTAGGATACACAGTGACTATGACTCTGATTTTAAATAAAGCCTTCTTATCCATTATATTAAAACAAACACCATGTAAAATGAATGATCCCAGAAGATCAAAGTACTATATTTTCAGATCTCATGGTAAAACTTGCCATCCAAACAAACATATGACTCATTTATGTCTGATTTTGAAAGAAATAGATTCATGAATAATGAATATGCAGCAGTAGTGGGATTCAACCGGTGTAACAACCAGTTTGGTGAGCGCGCGCTTACTTATTTTTTGGATATTCATAGCACTAATCTGTTTAAATCCAAAAGGCATCAACCACCTTGGTTGAAGGGCTGGTTCTTAAAGGCCAGTTCTATGTAAGATTACCATCTCTTTTTAAAGTAAAGCTATTATGCCTCTCAAAATTGTGTGACAAGCACAAGGTTTTCCTATCCTTGTGAAATCTGTCTCCTCCCACACAATCGACTATAATTTAAGCTGTAACAAACAACTAGACACACAACTGAAATGAATCAACATTCTTTCCTTCTTGATAATTCTATTCATAGCTCCTGAACCTTTATTTTAGACCCAAAAAAACAGGTCAAGAAAAAAAATAGTACTACAAACCATGGAAAATATATTTAGCTTAGATTAATATTCCCAATGGTTCAAATGGTTCAATGGTTCAAAAGAAAATTAAAGAGCCAGGCTTTTAAATATGAAGCACAATGAGAAAATGAATTTGTTATGCAGCAGATATAATTAAATTGACTGCATACGTATATGTTTATTCATTTTATTATCGCCTTGGATATGGTTGTATAAGTCAGGTTTAAAACTGAAGCAATGGTGTATTTCATTAACCTGCTTGGAATTTTGCAAGATTTCCCCAATGTATGCTTTAAGCAGCAATCCCCAAACTCTTCAGCTCACCAATCCCTTCATGATGTTCCAAATTGTTCATCAACACTTCCACAATATTTATTATATAAAAATAATTTAATAAATACTACTTAAATTGTGCTACAAATAATAACAATAAAGAGAAAACTCAAGGCAGTTCTTGCTAGCAGCTGACCATCCAACCATGAGAACATCGTCTTTTTTCACTAGCCACCTCACCTTCAGGATTAGAACTCTACAGAGCTCTTAGAACAGGGGTCTCCAACCTTGGCAACTTTAAGACTTGTGGATTTCAACTCCACAAAGTTGAGCGTTGAAATCCACAAATCTTAAAGTTGCCAAGGTTGGAGACCCCTGTCTTAGAAGACAATGGATACTGTACATTCACCATTGTCCATGCAATTTTTTAAAAGTGTGGTCATATTTCAAAGTGAGCCTCGTTAATTTCTTTTTTAACCAAGTTAAAACTACTCAATCCTGTGCTGATTCTAGTCTAATCACCAGAGATGGAACCACACAGAGATCCACACTTGTTATCCGGAAACCACATATAGATCCTGATCTGAAAGTAACACTAGACAAACCACATCAATTTTAACCCATCTTTAAAGTCATAAATACTCTCAAGGCAACCTGCAGAACAAAGTACACCTAATATACATGCATAAAATTGATCTAATCCATTTTAGGATGTAATGTGAAGCATAGAGGGAAGATAATCTACTTTATAAATATCAAGGTGGATTTAAGTCTCCCTGGCTTGCTTTACATCAAGGCAAGTTTCCTCTGCGCCTGTTATATATACATAGCATATGTCTGAAGTAGTAGAGAAGCAGCTGAAGAGAATTTATGCAAAAACTATTTTGGTAAGTAAAAACGTAAGTTTATTGATCTGCTGCAACACAGTAATTTGACTGAATTTTCTTTAAATCGAAAAACCCTATGAAGCTTAGCATAGACCTAACATATAACACTAAATAATAAATACAGTATTGATCAAAGCCAAATATTAGGAATGAATCTCAAATACTATCCAGTAAATTATCTCAAATAATAATAACCAATAAATAAACATAGGAATAGAAGCAACTTTAAATTACATATTAAAACAGCAAGTTAAATGTTTGCTCACTTGGACAGAATGACTTGAAATTCTTGGGCATCTATACAAGTCATATAAAAAAAGAGAAGGACAAAGAACATGAAGCATTGAGACAAAGGCAGAAGATGGGAGAGACAATATCTAATATATTCTACAACTTCAAATAATAATGGTGGAGCCCACCAGAACTTCAAGAACCAGAACTCTGTATCTCCCTTGACACCTAAAGTGGTAAAAGAGGAAGTAAAGAAGAAAGAAATAAACGCAGGTAATAATTTTCATATTTTAACTATATGAACAGTTAAATAGTTAACTAACAAAAGCACAGCAATCTGTAGCTGGTTTGAAAATAAATAAAGACAAAACAAAGATTTTGACAAAGAATATGTTATCAAGACAAAAGGAAGAATTGGCGGATGTATTGAAAATCCAGGTCACAAATAAGATCAAGTACTTGGGGATACATTTGACAGCAAGATGTAGTACACTAAAAGAGAATAACTATATTAAACTTAAGCAGCAGATAGCGCTAGATTTAGTGAAATGGGAAAATTTACAACTGTCATTAATAGGGAGAATATCAACAATCAAGATGAATATATTACCCAGAATTTTATATTTGTTCCAAACAATTCCAATTAGGCTGGGAAAAGACTATTTTGAAGATTTAAATAAAATTGTGTTGAAATATATATGGCAAGGTAAGAAAGCGAGAATAAAATTTAAATTTTTGCAAGATGCTAGAATAAGAGGAGGATTTGGTTTGCCTAATTGGGAGTTGTACTACCAAGCTACAAATTTGATGTGGGTCAAGGACTGGATAACATTAAGAAATGCTAGATTGTTGACACTAGAAGGACATGATCTGTTGTTGGGGTGGCATGCTTTTTTATGGTATAAAGGAACTAAAACACAGGGGTATTTTAGAAGACATTATATATGGGAGTCTCTGTGGTTAAATTGGGAGAAGACTAAAAGGCAATGTTATTTGAAAATTCCGGTCTGGCTATCAACTATTGAAGCATTTTCTTATCCTATAATATATAAAAAGGAACAAACAGATATGGTGAAATATTGAATGAAAAGGGTGAACTTAAATCTATGCAAAAATTAGAGGAACAAGGTATAAAGATGAATTGGTTTTCATATGCGCAAATACATTCAAGGTATGACAAAGATTCTAAAACAGAAGGTTTCTATGATAAACGGACAGATTTAGATAAGATTTTGACAGGTACTGATGAAAAGGTGATTAAAAAACTGTATGGATATTTCTTGGAAATTAAAATAGAAGAAGAACAAGTTAAAGAAACTATGATTGCTTGGGGGAAGAATTTTGGATATGGGATTGATCTAGAGAAATGGCAAAAATTGTGGTCTCAAAATTATAAAATGACAATGTCAACAGCATATAAAGAAAATTTGTATCAGATGTTTTACAGGTGGCATTTTTCCCCAACAAGAATAGCAAGAATGTTCAAGAACAAGTCTGAAAAATGTTGGAAATGTCATCAGATACCTGGCTCATATTACCATATGTGGTGGACGTGCGCGGATGCCAAAAAATATTAGACTAAAATCCACACATGGTTGGAAAAAATGACAAAAACGCATATAGACTTGAAACCAGAGATATTTTTATTGGGAATTTTACCTGAAATATATAGTAAAGAATTGAAATATCTGATTGTAAATGTATTAACAGTGGCTAGGATTGTATTTTCTAAAAACTGGAAAAATGAGAAAATACCAAAACAGGAGGAAGTTATCAAGAAAATAATGGAATGTGCTGAAATGAGTAGATCGACATTTGAAATTAGAGAACAAGAAGATAAACAATTTTATAAAATTTGGGATCTATTCTATCAATGGTTAGACAATAAAAAAATGGTAATGAAATATGTAGATTTTTAGAACATAATGAATATATAAAGATGTTTTTTTTATTATATTTACAAAATGATTATAGGATGGATTTGAGATGGAAATATGAACTGTCATAAAATAAATTAAGTAAAATATGGATTATTTTGTAAAACTTGAATGAATAATAGTATAGTCAAATGATTGATTAACAATTATATTAATGTATTTAGGAATATTTGATTGACAATATGAGAACATATACAATGTAATTCTAATTGAATACTACGAAGTGGAAGCACAAAACAATTTGTAAACCAACCGACACACTGTATATACATATTTGGAAGATGGTTTGATATTTTTATGTTATGTTTGTTCATGTTTGTCTTAAAAAAACAATAAAACTTTTTTTTTAAAAAAAAAAGCACAGCAATCTGGCCGGAAATAGGAATCTATCAAATTCAGTTTTATTCTGCTTCTAATTTGATGGGCCAATTCCAATTTTAGACATCTTCAAAGGTTACCTTACCTTACACATATTAGTGTACAGCCCTCAGGTTACCATTTTATGAATCGCCAAACTTAGTCCATCTCTTTCATGAAAGGAGACCTCTGATTTTTCCAGGTCAATCTTGTCACAGATTTGTAGTTATCCTGTATTACATGTGTATCTTTGCCACTAATGTTAAATGATTGCCCAGTGTCATTTTTGGATCCAAGAGGACACCATACTGTGAATATTGTATGCTCTGTAAAAGGCAATGCAACCTCGACAGAAGGTCTATGTATTATTGATACTGTTTGAATTCAGCTTTGGTTAACTATTTACCCAGTCCCTTACAGCCTGGACATGTGGAGATTCTGGAAACATCAAGCCATGAAAGGACATGAAAGGAATATAGCTAAGTATTGCCATATTTATGATAGCTCCAAACCTCTGGGTTATTATGTTAAATAACATGAGAGGCCTTGAAGGACCCCCCAAGAAATTTCCCAAAATGGTCTGATAGCACCCAGAGAAATAGAACCACCATAACTTTCAACTCCCTGACAGAATCATGCC